GAAGAGAAGAGAAGAGAAGAGAAGAGAAGAGAAGAGAAGAGAAGAGAAGAGAAGAGAAGAGAAGAGAAGAGAATTCAGACATTTTCTTCTCTGAGCCCACAACCAGATTAAAATTTGTTCTGATGGAATAAAGTGACATCATGTCCTGTTGATGTTTGTCCAGCATGTAATCCTTAAATTTCACACCTTTCTTGTCCTGCAGTGTCCCATAATTGTAACAAAACTGGCTCTCCGTCTACAACGAGTGTCTTCATCTGGAAATCAACACCTGAAAACACAAAAGAGAGAAAAAAAATGTCCACATGTTCTGCTGATAAAAGATTACATCATAGAGCAGACAGCACCATTCTGATAAAAACAGTGATTTATAAAATGAAAGTTACAATAGTTCACATTTCCTTCGTAATAAAGCACTTATTGAAGGTTAGAGGAAGGAACGAGACAAAGTATCAGGCTCACCCAGAGTAGTGCTGGAGTTCAGCTTGAACTCGTTCTTGCAGAGGCGAAGCAGGAAGCTGGATTTACCCACTGCTGCATCTCCAGCTAACACCACCCTGTAGGCCTTCTCTGAAGTCATGTAGCCGAGGTCAGCGTTTTCCTTGTCCTCACGCTGCAGAGATGATTTTATAAGGCGCCTTATTTTTTTATTTCTATATTTCTGAAACTCATGCCCCTGATAATTAGAGTGAAAAGTTTTCCCCTCACCTCTGCAGTGATGGCACTGAGGGCTTTCTTCGTCGCTGGAGCAGGGGGCGTGAAGACAGTAACGGACTCGTTCGGCTTCCAGTCCAGAACCGAGCTGCTGTCTGACCCGATCGCCGATTCACCGTCTTGTGTTTCTGCCGCCTGCGACACAAACAACCTCTGTAAAAAAAAAACTTTTAACCAACAAAAGAAACATCCTGCAGACTGTGCAAAGTGATCCACAAGCTCGATTTGTTTTTGTCCCACCTCMGTGTCGGAGCTCTCTTCCAGCATGCTCTCATCCAGGTCACGAACGTGAATATGGACCTTCTTCCTCAGCTCCTCCTCCTCCTCTTCCTCGTCCTGAGTCTTGACTTCGTGCTCTGAGTCGTAGCCTCCGTGCGAGCGTCGGAGTGTGGACAGGCCGCTGTCCATCTCTGGGAATCTGTCCTCCTCCTCCTCCTCCTCACACTCGCTGCTGTGTCTCCTCAGGCCGGGGTCACACATGGCCAAAGCCAGAGTGTCACAGCTCAGCCGGCGGTTGTACAGAGGGTAGTCATCCAAACGCTGGCTGAGCCTGAGGAGAAGGAGGAGGAGGAGGGCGTGAAATTAAAAAAATAAATAAATAAATAAATAAATAAATAAATAAATGATTGTTTTGCTTTACTCAGCTTATTAAATCTGAGGAAAGTTCAGATTCTTGAAGTGGGGTTCTGTGGAAAAGTTATGAGCAATAAATATCTTACCTGTTGTAGACATCTCTGAGTGACCTCAGTTTAGAGAAAAAATATTTTTATTTTTAAGGGTAATGCAACAAACAAGCAGATTTCCAATGTTTTATAACAACTTCGCCTTTTAAAATTTATTTTCACTCCGTTTTGTGCTTGGTTACGTTTAAACTAGCCATTAGCTCATCACTGCGGTTAAAATAAGCAGCGTTTTTCAAAACTGAAGTCAATCAGAGAGTTAGCTACAGAAGGTAAGAAATTAATTTTTTGAGTCTTTCACAAAATCCCACTTCAAAAMATCTGAACTGATWCTGTTTACTGTAACTTTTMTGTATGCTTTTATTAACCGAGTGCATTTGAGTTTTTCTTACTTGTCCATCAGTGCATACGGTGATGTGTAGCAGATACTTTTACTTCTGTTTCTCTCAGCTCCACCTGATGACCCACCTGTACCAGACTGAGACACACAAAATATGTTTTCAGCTTTTTCTAACTTTGCTGTCACTTCATAAGGAAATATATTGTTTAGATCCTATAAATAGAGAAAACAAAGTGAAGAATTTATTGTCATGGCTTAATGTATTTCTGTGTTAAAGCTTCAGATTTACATCAAGTTTATTTTTCTAATCACATGAATTAAGATCGTATGATTTAAAGTAATAAAATAAATTTCAGTAAATTTTATTAATTTAATAAATTAATAAAAATTAAATTTGATGAAAGTAGAGTTTTACCCTTGTGACCTTCTCCAGAGCAGCTCTCAGACCATCGTTGCTGTCATGGAGCTTCCTGTTGGCTGACCTGGCCACGCACAAAACAAATTCAGCTTTTAATACGTTTGTTTACGATTTTAAATTTTAAGCAGATGGTTTCTGTAAGGATGCACGCTTCTTACTGCAGAATCTCAATCTGATGCTCCAGGATGTCTCGTTCATCAGCYAAATTTTTCATGAGCTCCTCATCTCTGCGGGGAAACACAAAGACGACACAACTGCTGAGTGTGAAAGAAAAAAAACAACAACCTGTTTATGACGAAGAGCATCTAAATTTATAGCTTTAGCCTCAGATGTCAGTTAAATGAACTGATGGTCAGATTTTTGTTAGAACTTTGAACTGTACCAACACAACAACATATAAAAAGATTAAAAAAGTGGGAAAACTTTGCAGTTTTTAATTACTTTTCAGCACAGAAGCAGCATTTAGTTTCTAACTGATGTTTCATCCAGTTTATGATCGCGAGATAAAGAAACAGCTGATGGGCTGGTTCATGAAGAAAGGTCAGCTTTACTGCTCTGTTGCTTCTGTTGCCGAGCAACCCTCCTGAGAAAGGTTTTTGTGCGTGAAGTCACTTCAGGATATCCTGTTTCGACTCTGACAAAACCAAACCTCCAGGGGACAAACGAACCGAGGAGGAGCCTCGACGCCTCTGTGTGCGTCTCTGTCTCTCTGAAACTGATTCGACGAGCAGCCCCYGGACCAGATTTACAACCTCAGCGTTTATTAGACGTGTTTGATTTGCATCTAAAGGATCGTCTGAATTCGAGTGCAAGTTTGTGCTCATGTTCAAAGTGCAGAATAAAAACAGAGGCAGGCTAAAAAAAAAACAAAAAAACAAAAAAAAACTTGCCTTATGAGTTTTTTTTACCATAGAATTTTTGATTATCTTCAATTAATCACACACACACACACACACACACACACACACACACACACACAC